CCCTCTCACACACCCACAATCACACACACACACACACATACACATTTGATTGATTTCTTTCCCAAATTGCACTGACTGCTTTAAAATATGAGACACCAGTGTTTCAGGAGTTAAGCACATGTTTATACGATAACTGTTTTATTTCCTATTTGGGTTTATGTGTATGCTTTCTTTTTTTAAGATTAACTGTTAGATGCCAGTGTTTTCTGTCATAGCTATGCAAAGATCTGATTTCAAAAACAGTTTCATAAACTATATCTTGTTACGGTTTTAAATCTGTGTTTAACCTCAGAATGTTCGCAAAGTAAAAAGAGGTGCTAAACATTAATGCTTTAAATTAAATTATCATCATCTTAATTCAAGTAATGAAGGATTCTGAAAGTCTGACAGTAATCAGCGCTGAGTTCTAAGGTTAATAAACATTTATTAGAAATTTAGAAAAGTAATCAAATGTAATCAGTTACATTATTTTATTAAAGTAATTAAAAGTTACACTATTTAAAATGTAATACGAAGTGTAACGTTTCCAAAGTAACTTTGAATCCCAACACTGGTTTTAACACTTAAAAAACAACTTAAGCGGCGACATCTGACACTGTTTTAGAGTGCTGCTGTTTAGTTTGGTTATAAACCACGTCGATGGAATTCCATTCCATGCTGGATGGAAATGCAGAGATGCACATAACATCTTAAATTGTGAATTAAGAAAATGTATGTGCTCAGTCGAGGTTGATAAACATGCATAAACAACAATGGAAACTCATGTACCGAATAAATCCTTGATGCACAATAAAAAACTTTGCCTCAACAGATCATGTGATTGGATAATTGGATTAACAGTGCACCAATCTCATTACACACCACCTCAAACGTTGTTTTAATAATCCTGCAATGCTTGAGCCAGAGACTGTCATCAAAATGATTTGGTATAAATGCCTCCCAGAACTGTCTTACACAAACGCTGTCATGTTATCTTGCGTTCCCAAACGTCAGGCTTCTGACTGCAAACGTGAGAGAACCTGACGCTGTTACATTGTTGCATTTCATCTGAGCGTTCTGCAAGTCATTTGTTATGGAGGGAAAAAGAGCCACACGCTTTGCCACTTGCATTTAATTTTATTTTTTATTCTTAATACTTTGCATCGATTTCTCAGGAACTGACCATTTTGTTCACTTAAACACATAGGATGGAAACAGTGCGTATTATCAAATGCTTTGTGATATTCAAATTTTCTGTACAAGTTAAATTCACAACTTAAATGGAAACTATTGAAAATTTCATTAAAAATGACCAAGGGACTATTTGGTTAAAGGCATGTAATATCAGCTAAAAAAAAAACGTAGTTCTGAGAAAATGCATATTGAAATGAACGTCTCAAGTGTCGAGGTGCTTTAAGAGGTAGGAGTAGGGCCCTGACCTTTAAACAATTTGGTCGATTTTGTAGGTTAATGGTTGTATAAGCGATTATCCACTTTGAGCTCTGCTCATTTATGCTGCAGCGTTTTGTCTGTGTTGTATTTATGGAGCCGTACATGAAGGCAGTAAAAATTCAGATTCCTTTTCTATCATTAATTGCACACACACTGACCTTCTTCATGTCCTGAAGTATGGGGTGAATATACACTGGATATTTTTTGAACTCATGACTTTTCTGACAAAAACTGTCAGCTACAGACTGGCCGATACAGCTGGATGATATAGTTCAAACCTCACACTTCTGATGATATTAAATGGATATCTAAGAGTTGATGTATTTGCACTGGAAATGCTTTTAAAAAGTTTTTTTTTTTTCAGACAAATCATCTTTTTAACATTGTGGTTGAGTAGATTTTTAATTGAATGAAATTAAAATGATCAGGGCATGATTTTTTTTACTAAATGAACACAAAGGATTATATTTCCTATTTTTCATATATCTGTTTAATTTAAAAAATGCCACAGAAAGTTTTTGAAGCAGATGCAATTAAATGAATCAAGTAGCAACTGCAATGCTGTTTTTACTCCAAGTTTAAACCAGAGGTTATTAAAATATCGTTGTCTTAACACAATGATTATATACTCGTTTATGTGTCCTGTCACATACAGTATGTAATTGACGTCAAGGCCTTGCTGTTCAGTCATTGAGTCGGATATTTACTGAGCCATTTGAAAACAGAGACAGGACCTTGAATTCAAGGTGACCGGCCTGTTTGTGTGTGTATATAATTTATATTAGTTTATTGAAAGTATATGTCCTTTTGCTGAAGTGGGTATAATGTATTTTCCATGCTAATCAAAGTGTCTTGCTATATATACACACTGCCAGTCAAAGGTTTGGGATCAGTAAGACTGTAATGTTGTTTAAAGAAGTCTCTTCTGCTCATCAAGGCTGCATTTATTTGATCAAAAATACAGAAAAAAAAACAGTAATCTTGCAAAATGTTATTACAATATAAAATAATGGTTCCTATTTTAATATAATTTAAAATATAATTTATTTCTGTGATGCAAAGCTGAATTTCCATCAGCCATTACTCCAGTATAAAGTGTCACATGATCTTCAGAAATCATTCTAATATGCTGATTTATTATTAGAATTATCTAGTTTTGCTGCCAAATATTTTTTTGAAAACGGCGATATTTTTTTCAGGATTCTTTGATGAATAAAAAGTTAAAAAGTTCAGCATTTATTCAAAATATAAATCTTTTCTAAAAATATAAATCTTTGCTGTCAATTCTTATCAATTGAACACATCCTTGCTGAATAAAAGTTTAATTTCTTTCAAAAAAAGAAAGAATAAAAATGTACTGACCCTAAACTTTTGAACGGTAGTGTATATTGTTAGAAAATATTTCTATTTTAAATAAATGCTCT